ATGATTTAATCCTTGCCCAAAGACATATTTCATTAATTTTTAGGGAGAGAAGAAGAAGAAGAAAAGAGAGAGAAAGAGAGAGAGAGAGAGAGAGAGAGAGAGAGAGAGAACATCAATGTGAGAGAGAAACATTGATTGGTTGCCTTCCTTGCCCACCCCAACTGGGGATCAAAACTAGATATGTGTCCTGACCAGGAATCTAACCCACCATCTTTTGGTGTGTGGCACAATGCTCCAACTCATAGAGCCCACCCGGCCAGAGTTTTTTTGTTTGTTTGTTTGTTTTTAATATTTTATAGGTGAAGAATAGAAGGCAGAGAGATTAAATTGTTTGCTCAAAATCAGAGAGCTGGGATTTGAACTAGACAATCTGATTCTACAGTCTGCCCCTTATAGGGTGAACTATTTAAAAAAGTGAAGGTTTCAGAATGCCATGCTAAGGAAGTATAAAAATCTTAGAATATTAGGACCATTGTACTTCTGTTATCCATGAGATACAAGTAATTTTGCCATAGCCTTATCACATTCAATGACAGTGATACTCAGTAGAGCTCATGTATTGTACATTTGAATGGTAAAGGTTAATTTGGATAATCTCTTCTTACTCTCTTAAGGGAAAGTAATTTCTTCTGTTGGTTGCAATAGGAGATTTTTTTTTTATTACTAAAAGATTTTAGAACATGATAATCCTTTTAGGGTCAGCATTTAACAATGCTCTATAAACCTTTCCTTCCTTTGTACGATTGACTGTCCTATATGTGTCCCTTGCCCGCACTAGTGGAATGGTGCTCATGTTATTGCTTATGAGAGAGTCATTGTCCCTAATTGGTTTTGTCAAACTTGATAAGTCAGCTATCCACAACTGTAAGACCAGGTGGTATTTTGGAGAACACCTCTTCTTTCAGCTACAATCTTACTAATTGTAGCTAACCCATTGGCATTTCTTGTTCACTTCCCTTGTTCCTCCCATAATTCTCATACAAATTTGAAATGTATGTGTTGGAGTCCACATTTGGATGGAAATGAGAAAGCATTCTTTGATGTTTTTGTAATTCTTCTGCTCTGGAACTGACTGCTTTATTTTCTATTTCTGCCCTAAAATTTCAGATCTGAAAACAATATTGTACTTAGTCTTTGAGGGTAGAAATAGCTTTGTTCAGTTACACTTACTGTGCATGGGGATAGAGAGACAAATGAATTGTTCCAGCCCTCAAGTTGTTCATAGTCCAGTGGGGAAGACAGCCTTCTAGACAAATATATGCAGATATCAGAGATATAGGCATAGAAGTCTGTACAGATTGTAAAGGGACCAAAAAAGGAATATGGTCACATGTGTTTGGAGAGAGGCAAGGATGACTTCATAGAGGAGGTGATGGTTGAAGAGAATCTTAAACAAATAGGCAAAGAAAGAACATCCCAGGCAGAGAGTGAAATACTGTGATTCATTTAGGCAGCTTTAACTAGGTTGATGAATCTGGAACAAATGATGAAGCTGTTAGGATGTCAGGAGCCAAGTCATGTAAGGCCTTTTATGAATTTGGGCTTCTAGTTTCATATGCTGGAATGAGCTGAGTGGAACCCTGAACTTCATTCTAACCATGTAGAAAGTCTCCAGTACAGCTCTGCCAGTGTGGCTCAGTGGTTGGGTGTCAACCCATGAACAAAAAGGTCATGGTTCCATTCCCAGTCAGGGCCCATGCCCGGGTTGTGGGCTCCATCCCCAGTAGGTGGTGTGTAAGAGGCAGCCAATCAGTGATTCTCTCTTAGGATTGATATTTCTCTCCCTCTCCCTTCCTCTCTCTGAAATTGATAAATATATATATATATATATATATATATATATATATATATATATATATATAAAGTCTCTAATACTGAGGTGAATTTGAAAGCAAGAAGGAGAAATCCTCAGGTGCCAGGAAGAAAGAAGAAATCCAAACCCAGAGCTGAAGTTGAATAGTTCTATTGAAACCAGATGTAATGCTTAGGGGCTAGGGTTTTAGGGTCAGTACAGAGATTGCACATAAATCCTCAGGTTAATAACCCCCATATGAAGCTGAAAGGTAAGACTACCATGTTTGATAAAAATGAACTAGAAAAATTTCATTAGTCTAAGGAAACAGCATAAAGATTGTGGTCTTCTCAGGGTTTGGGGTGAAAAAAGAGTTAGTTATAATAATGTAGAACTCCATACTTATTACTATGCATGGAAATATACATCTATATTTACATTTATACACAAATTCACACATATATTCTATATAATAAAAGGCTAATATGCAAATTGACTGACCGGCAGAACAATTGGTTGCTATGATGTGCACTGACCACCAGGGGGCACACAACGCAGGAGTTGCTCCCTGGTGGTCAGTGCACTCCCACAGGGAGAGCGTCACTCAACCAGAAGCCAGGCTCACAGCTGGTGAGCACAGTTGCGGTAGCGGGAGCCTCTCCCTCCTCCACTGCAGTGCTAAGGATGTCTGACTGCTGGCTTAGTGGGGAGTGGGCCTAAACCATCAGTTGGACATCCCCCAAGGGCACCCGGACTGCAAGAGGGTGCAGGGGCTGGGTTCTGAGAGATTCCCCTCACTTCCCCCCCCAAGTATGCGAATTTCATGCACTGGACCTCAAAATATATATATATATACACACACACACACACACAAACACACATACATACATGCATACATATATATGTAAAATCTAATATATATATATAAAATCACACTATCCATAATCCTGAAAATTAATTAGGGGAATATATTTTAAAACTTTAAAAAAATATATATTTTATTGATTTTTTTACAGAGAGGGATAGAGTGTTAGAAACATCGATGAGAGTGAATCATCGACCAGCTGCCTCTTGCACACCCACTACTGGGGACATGCCCGCAACCACGGTACATGCCCTTTGACTGGAATCGAACCTGGGACCTTTCAGTCCGCAGGCCGACGCTCTATCCACTGAGCCAAACCGGTTTCGGCTATTTTAAAACTTTTAAGGCATTTGTATATACTAGTAACAATAATGGGATACTCTCTAATACTATTAAAGTATATAATCTGGCTTTATATGTATCTATATGAATAAATAAAGAAAATATATTGAATGAAAAAGCAAGGTGTGGAATGATATGATATTTATACCTTCTTTTTTGTTTTTTTAAAATATATTTTATTGATTTTTTTACAGAGAGGAAGAGAGAGGGAGAGTTAGAAACATCGATGAAAGAAAAACATCGACCAGCTGTCTCCTGCACACCCCCTACTGGGGATGTGCCTGCAACCAAGGTGCATGCCCCTGACCGGAATTGAACCTGGGACCCTTCATACCTTCTTTTTATTGAGACTGTCCCAGAGCACTAAAATCTAATTGGCATAACAATAGAAAGTAAGGCTTTTTTTTTTTTTTTGCCTTTATCTCTCCTTTTCCTAGCTACAAACCTGGAAGGGTTAGAGACCAAAGCAAAGAGCAGGTAGGGTAGGAGGAAGAACAAAGATGGGGAAGTAGAAGAGTCAGACATGTCCTCCTCCCACCACTGCCAGCTAGATTGAGAGCAGACCCCAACCAGGGGAGGGAGCTGAGACTTTTTTGTTATTGCTTTTATATGTGTGTGTGTGTGTGTATATATATATATATATATATATAGAGAGAGAGAGAGAGAGAGAGAGAGAGAGAGAGAGAGGGAGAGAGAGAGAGAGAAATCATGAGTGTACCTCCTGACAGATTTTTCACAAAGTGAACACACATATGTCACCATGTGTATCCAGATCAAGAAACAACATTATCAGAATGCTGGAGCCATCAATACCCTCTTCCATTTCTTAACTGGGCCCCCTCCCCAGAGTAACAACCATCGAGACAAAAAAAAAAAAAGTTTATTGATTTCATAGAGGAAGGGAGATGGAGCAAGAGAGAGAGAACATCAATGATGAGAGAGAATCATCATCTGGCTGGCTGCCTCCTACACGCCTCCTACTGGGGCTCAAGCCTGCAACCTAGGCATGTGCCTTGACGTAGAATTGAACTGTGACCTCCTGATTCATAAGTCAATGTTCAACTACTGAGCCACACCAGCTGGGCAAGATTTTTTAATTATAAAAACAACTTTATTATTTTGTCTCTTTTTAAAAAATTCTTTAGTTGAAATAATTTCAAAACTACAGAAAAGTTGCAACAGAACAAAGAACTTTCCTATCCCTTCAACCAGATTGCTTAATTGTTAAAATTTTATACTTAATGAAAGAATGGTAATGTTTTATTTATAAAAAATGGCAAAATGTTAACTTTTAAAAAATATTTTTTTTATTGATTTCAGAGAGGAAGGAAAAGGGGGAGAGAGATAGAAACATCAATGATGAGAGAGAATTATTGTCTGCCTCCTGCACGCCCCCTTCTGGGGATTGAGCCAACCCAGGCATTTGCCCTTGACCCAAACCAAACCTGGGATCCTCAGTCCACAGGCTGGCGCTCTATCCACTGAGCCAAACCAGCTAGGGTTTAACTTTTTTATTATTAAATAGTGAATTACTCTACCTTTCTATGTGTTTGAAGTTTTAAAAAATTCTTCAAACAAGACCCATTTATTTCATCATCTAGAAAGCAGGAAGCTGTTGAAGTGTGCTTTTATTGTTGAAATAAATATATATGACTTTTCTGTTCTCTGTCCTCATCTATAAATTAAAACACGTAAGTAAGCTATAGGGTTGATTCACCTCAGCATCGTTTTTCTTTTCTTCCCATCCTTATTGCTTCTCACTGCTAAGTGCCTAGTGGTGTCTGACATGGTAAGATTAAAACTTGCACTTTTCCTAATAGATGTAACTCTCTTCCTGATTTGCAGTAAGCAGGATCTGCTTTTAAGCAATTACCCATCATTTGGGGCTTCAGGTCATAATCAATAATTCACATGTCAATAGGAGCCCCATTAGCTCAGGTGAAGGCAGATGTCTTTATAATAAAAATGTTCCATTTTCCAAATGACTTTTCTTTTTCCCAGAGAGTTGTGGTTGTAGAAGACATAAAAAGATGGAAAACTATGTTGGAGCTTCCTAATCAAACCAAAGAGAATCTAGTTGAAACATTACAAGAATTAAAGAAGAAAATACCCTCCAAGGAAGTGTTAAAATCAACAAGGATAGGTATGTTTCTTCTGACTGTTATGCAGAATGCTTATATTTTGTCTCTTTCCTTCTTCCTTTCTTCCCTCCCTCACACATTAAATTACCTGTCATCTCAGTGCTTTTCAAACTATCCATGATAAGGGACCGTTGTTTTAAAAAGTTTCCATTGGTGGCAGACCAGTACTTTCATTAATGTATGAAAAGTTACCAGAAAAATAAAATTAAGATATGCAAAATACAAGCCGCATTTTTTAAAATTATTAAACAGATGTAGAATTGCTCTTTAAATTGCTATAAAATTTTCTAAATGCTTCAGTTTTTGAGTTTGTTGCCTGGACTGGTAACGCAGTGATCTATGGGTGACATTTTGAGTGTGTTTGATGCTGGGGGTGTAACAATGAATAAGACATGCTTCATGATCTCTAAAAATTTAGGTTTTGCTGGAGAAATAAGCATGTAGACAAATGTGGCAGTAAGAAATTATAGCTTATAAATAAAAACAATAGAAATAATATTTGTGGCACCATTCTGATTTATACAAGTTATATGCTGGCATAAAGAACAGAGTACGTAGTCATCTGCACCCGGGGCATTAGAAAAGGCTTCAGAGAAGAAGTGACATTTCTGTTCAATCTTGAAAGAGACTTGGCTTTTCTGTCTTAAGTAGAAATAACTTGGAAGGCCTGGTTTGTAAAAACAAAATGATAGCATCCTTTGCTACTACATCATTTGTTATGGCAATAGAGATATTTAAAAGATAAGTCGGGGGCCACGTTGAATTGCCATTTTAATATAGTACACAACTGTGAATAATCTGCAAGGGAGGACCAACATGTGTTCCTCAAGCTGCTCCGAACTCCCCAGGGACCCAGGGCAGCCATTCACAGCTGCCGCTCTTGCCCTCACTCATGCAGCCATTGCCTTGTCTGCCTCCCCTTGACCTCTTGTTCACGAGCGGCAGGAGAGAGAGCAGCTTCACACTGGCGCTAACAGCTGGCAGGAGCTGTGTGAAATTCCCCAGAGAGCCCCCCAAGAGTCTTGAGAGTTGCACCCCTGTAATATAAACCAGAATCTGAGAAAATTAGATGCTTAAAGAACATAAGACCCTATTATTATAGCCAGGAAATGCTCCTATCTGCTGGTGGATTTTCTCTTTATAGGTTGTGGTCACTAGAGGGCAATAAGACCATTCATATGAGCAGGTAAGGTATTTCCTCCAGTAAAGGGTCCTAGTGATTAATATTTTATGACCTATATATATTTACATATATGTATACATGTTCATATTTAGGCACAGGCCACAGTTAACCATTTATGATCAGAGCTTAAATATCAACATAATAGGCTGGAACTGTCCTACAAATATAGAACATGATAATTAAAAAAAAAAAAAAATCCTTTTTCTCTCTTCTTTGAGTAAATTGTGAGTATGCTTTCAGGAATGGGTGTGTCTGATCAGAGATTTCAATTCAAAGATCATAATAAAACCACACAAGGGGCTTGACTTGAGAGAAGCTGGAAACCATCCAAGTTTTGAGTCTTGACCCTACCCAAGCCTTCCCTAAACCTGAAGTTGAATATAATGTAGGGGTTTCTTGATTTTTTTTGTAGTTACAACAGTTGCTAAGCTGAAGATTCATTTGGATCATTGCCTGAGCATATTTACCTTCTTCCACCTTTAGCCTCCTGCCTGTCTCTATCCTATGGGCTAAAAGACACCAACATTTACTGAGTGCTTTCAATTTCTACGTCCTTAGGATTTTATTCCACTGTGTCTTTGATTCGAACCACACCTCTCCATCCCCTCGACTACTACCTCACCCTAATTTCCCAACCAGATGTTTTAACTGCCTCTAGGTTTGCTTTTCTCCAATACTTTTTCACATGGCAGCCAGATATATTTTTTGTCTAAAATGCAAATATGACTATGTCACTCCTCCATTCAGAATCCTCCAATAATAATCACTTACTATCTTTAGGGTCTCAGACTTCATAATGAACAAAAGCTATCCTTCCACTGCAGTAAAACTAGATTCTAGATAAAAAAAAATAAAAAACCTCATTCCCTCTTGCAAAAACATAAGCGGAGGTGAAAGGGGTGGGCTCAGGGAGTGGGAGGGCTAAACTAAGGGCTGATGTAAATAGCAATGCTGCTGAAATACTTTTAGGCCAGTAGTGAAGTGGGATAGCTAATTCTGGGACTCTCAACTAAGCTGGGATTCTTTTCTTTTTTTTTTTTCTAAATAAATTTTTATTGTTCATATTATTACAAATGTTCCTTCCCACCCCACCCTCTGCCCTTTCCTCACCCCCCATTGTCCTCATCCATAGGTGCACAGTTTATGTTCAGTCTCTTCCCACATCCCCCTCTCCCCTTTTCCCCAAGAATCATCAGTTCACTCCCCTTCCATACCTCTGATTCTATTATATTCAACAGTTACTATTGTTCATCAGATTTTTTTTTTAATTTCCTTGGTTTTTAGATTCACTTGATAGTTACATATTTGTTGTTCATAATTTTTATCTTTATTTACTTTCTCTTCTGAAAGAACCCCCTTCAGCAATTCATATAATTCTGGTTTGGTGGTGATGAACTCCTTTAGCTTTTTTTTATTAGTGAAGCTCTTTATCTGGCCTTCAGATTCTGAGTGATAGCTTTGCTGGGTAGATTATTTTTGGCTGTAGGTTCTTGCTATTCATCACCTTGAATATTTCTTGCCATTCCCGTCTGGCCTGCATGGTTTCGGCTGAGAAATCAGCTGACAATCGTATAGGTGCTCCTTTATAGGTAACTACCTGCTTAGCTCTTGCTGCTTTTAATATTCTCTCTTTGTCTTTTGCTCTTGGGATCTTAATTATGATTTGTCTTGGTGTGGTCCTCTTTAGATTCTTTTTATTTGGAGTTCTGTGTGCTTCCTGGACTTGTAAGTCCAATTCTTTCACCAGGTGGGGGAAGTTTTCTGTCACTATTTCTTTCAGTATGTTTTCAATATCTTGCTCTTTCTCATCTTCTGGGACCCCCATAATTCTGATGTTGGATCGTTTGAAGTTGTCCCAGAGGTTTCTTACATCATCTTCAATTTTCTGGATTCTCTTGCCTTCTATTGTAGCTTCTGCAGAGGAGTGTCTTCTGGCTCTTTATGTTCCAAATCTTTGACTTGATTCTTGTGATCTTCTATTCTGTTTTTAGGACTCTGTATAATATTTTTTATTTCAGACAATGTATTTTTTATTTCTTGTTGATCCTTTTTCATATCCTCATAGGTCTCATTTATTTTATCAGCCTTTTCTAGGAAACTCCTGAAAAACCTTATAAGTGTGGTTTTGAACTCTATATCCAGTCGCTTTTTGTCCTCCATTTCTTTCGTTTGTGATTTATTTGGTTTAGGCATTTTCGCAGGCAGCTTTCCTGATGGGGTGGGGTTTCAGGGTGGAGCCTACAGCCTTGGCTTCCGTCTGCCCCGCCCTATGCGGGTCCTTCAGTACTCCTTGCAAGCGCCTCTGAGAAAAAGGTGCCCGCGATCACCTGCTACCAAACAGTCTAGTCTCTCCCCCAATGGGCCCGAAACTGGGGTTCAGTTCAGTTGGAAGTGGAGTTGGAGGTGGCGTTCAGAGCAGTCTGGAGCCTCTGTCTCCTTCCCACCGGGGCAATCCTGCAGCACAGCCAGCCGTCCCTTCTCTGCGTGCAATGTGCGTGCCTCCGGGACCACCTTTCGCCGCTCCCCTGGATTCCGCCTTACAACCCAGCTCCCCCTGTGTGAGCCTGGGTCCCTGGGGTCTGGCCTAGGACTGAGGTTCAGAGCGGTTGGAGCTGGGCCCAGCACAGTTGGAGCGTTTATCTCCTTCCCAGAGGGAACGCCAGCCAGGCACTCAGCCGCCCTCCTCTCCGGCTCAGACCTCTCCACGCACCGCGTGTCTCGGTACCTTAGGCTTTTCCAGCTCCTCCGCTCTTCCTTCTGGTTATCTCCTTGCTTCTTGTTGTAGAATTTCCAGTCAGTCGACTTTCCTGTAGTTCTGGGTAATGTCCATTTTATATTTTAGTTGTATTTTATTGAAATTGTTGCGTGCGGCTGCGGCTAGGTGCCTACCCGAGCAGCCATCTTGGAATCTCTAAGCTGGGATTCTTGAAAAGTGTGCTAAAGTATTCCAGGTCAGAAGTGACCCTTCATTATTGACAGAAACAAAAAAAGAAGGAATCTAATTCCCTCTAGAGCAGCAGTCACCAACCTTTTGGCCCTTACATACCACCAGCGGACCACCGATTGGCAGCCACTGCTCGACTGCTCGGCGCTGTCAGCGGGTGCGAATGGCAGCTGCTGGCCTCGATCACCCCTGAGGGTTTCTCTACCGCGGCCCCCCCACCCCCCTCAGCTCTGTGCCGTCAGTGGGTGCAAGTAGGACTGGTGCTGCCACTGCATTCGAGTGGTGGTGGCAGGAGAGGAGCTGCAGGCGGACAGGGGAATGAGGTCCATGGAGGGAGGGGCTGAGTGGGGGGGGGGGGACAGGAGGGGCGGCGTGGAGGATGGGCCAAGACCCACCCCTGTACCCACCGCAGCCTCGTGGCTCACAGTTCCTTTCAAGGTGCATGAATTCGTGCACGGGCTCCTAGTGGAGATATATAAGCTTGTCTAGGGAGTGTATTTAAGAAAAACATAGAGCTAAATCCAAAATCCTGAAGCACACCAGTATTTAAGAGACTTATAGGAGGAGACCAAAAAGGTGTGACAAGGGAAACGGGACCGAATGCTGTCATGAAACGGGAAGTTAGATTTTGGTAAGGTCAAAGGCAGGGTTTGGGCAGAAGGTTGAGGAATGAGAGGAGGTAAGAAAGTCAAACTGAAAATAACTCTTTGAAGAAGTTTCATATTGAAAGGAAAAAGAGATGGCAATATCAGAAAGGGAATGTGGAGTGCTTTCAATTTCATTTTTTAAATAGAAGAGAGTCTAACCTGTTAATTGACAGATTTGTAGAGCGACCTTATCTGGGAGAATGGACCGGACTTACTAAGGATTGACAG